CGGCGGGGATGGGCGCGCGCTGAGCAGCCGGCGGGAGCCGCGGGAGCAATGGGGAACATCTCGTCCAACATCTCCGCCTTCCAGTCCCTGCACATCGTCATGCTGGGCTTGGACTCGGCGGGCAAGACCACGGTGCTCTACCGCCTCAAGTTCAACGAGTTCGTCAACACGGTGCCCACCATCGGCTTCAACACGGAGAAGATCAAGCTGAGCAACGGCACGGCCAAGGGCATCAGCTGCCACTTCTGGGACGTGGGCGGCCAGGAGAAGCTGCGCCCACTCTGGAAGTCCTACAGCCGCTGCACCGACGGCATCATCTACGTGGTGGACTCGGTGGACGTGGACCGGCTGGAGGAGGCCAAGACGGAGCTGCACAAGGTGACCAAGTTCGCCGAGAACCAGGGCACCCCCCTGCTGGTCATCGCCAACAAGCAGGACCTGCCCAAGTCGCTGCCCGTGGCTGAGATTGAGAAGCAGCTGGCGCTGCATGAGCTGGCGCCCTCCACCACCTACCACATCCAGCCCGCCTGCGCCATCATCGGCGAGGGGCTCACTGAGGGCATGGACAAGCTCTATGAGATGATCCTCAAGCGCAGGAAGTCCCTCAAGCAGAAGAAGAAACGGTAAAGGGGAGGAGGCTGCCGGAGCCAGCGAGAGCCAGAGCCGAGCCCGCTGGTGCCAGATCGGGACAGAGGAACAAACCCTGCCAGCCTCTGCCCCGCGCAGACTGAGAGGGGCATGGCTCAGGCCACCACCTTCTCCCCGCGTCCGCTTCTCAACCTGGGCGAGCTGCTGGCTGGGGCTGGCCTGGCTGCCTTCCTCGGCCCCCAAGCCACCAGGATGAGCCAAAGCCCCCCAAGGAGGAAGCCTCCATGTCTTACCCTTCTAGCAGGGCTAGAAGGGGTGGGCAGCGGGGCTGCTGGGGGCCCGTGGACTCCCTGAGGAGCCATTTGCTGGGCCCCTCTGTCCTCCGGAGGGAAGGACTTGTTCCTTGGTGGGCCTGTGGGACAAGGAAGCCCAGGAGCTGGACAGAACAGGGCAGGACCCTGCTTGAGAGAGACTAGGATGTGCTCCTGGCTTGGGAACTTGTATTTTTTTTTAAGTGTGTGTATGTGTATATGGGGCTAAGGGAAGGGCTTCTGGGGAAAGTGGAGCTGAAGAAATAATGCTTCAGGGAGCAGCGGATGCTGAGGGATCTGCCCGCGATTGGAAAACCGGGGTAGGAAAAGGAAAACACATACTGATCCCTGTTGCTTAATGGTGGACGTTGGCCTCTGGGGAGAACTGCTTCTCAGGGCACCAGCCATCTCCCCAGAGCACTTGGATTCGGTCCACTTGCAGGTTACGGTCACCAAAAATGAATTGGAAAAAAAAATCAGACTAACAAAAGGTAGGAGAGCAGCAAATGAATGATATGCTGCTGCTTGCAGTAGCAGTCTGCGTGCTTAAAGGGGAATTGCTAGTGGGTGCACGTCATCCTTGGAAAAACAGAAAAATGTATTGATCCACATGGAATTTAAAGCTATAACCAGCTGGATGGTCTGTGACCAGCTGCTGACTTGGTGCTGAGTTTGAAGCTATTTGCTTCAAAGGGGTTCTGTATGAACTTTGCCATGAAGGGTGTTCACATCTCTTGTCAAATTATCAAAGGTTTATTTTTAACAGAGGCCATGTCCTGTTGTAATGAGAAGGAACAGGTCTTTCTCACACCCTTTTATATCACTGTAACCTACTGGTAGAGGTATGTTTCTTTTGTCTAATTTGGATCAAGCTGGTTTGTCCAATTGATATTTTCCGTGGGGAAAAAAAACCTCACTACAGTGCTGGATTCTAGGCCTCCAACTGTCCACCTCATTGCATCAATATGAAAGCAATGGATGAACACAAAAGATTTAGGCCAGTGGTAGTTAAACTTGAATATAAACAGCGACTGTGAATCCAACCAGTGCTTTGGCTAACAGAATGCAAACTATGAGTGGCTAAGATAAATTTATACCCCCCACCCCCAATAGGAAGAATTAAAAAGATGTCTACTTGAAAAGGGCAGGGGAGGGCAGAAAAATGACTGGGAAAATTGGAGTGATTTTTTTTAAAACAAGAAAATGATTTTTAAATACATTTATGTTGAGAGCCCTACTTACAAATCACATATTAAAGGCAGATTTGAGCCAATTATGAATTTGCTGTACAAGTACTGTCTTGCTTCTATTGACCTCACTGATAGAAGATTGAACCTTGTATTGTTTATCAAGATTCTGGCCCTTCACCATTGAAGTTGATGGGTGAAGAACCAGATTGGTAATAAATAGAAGTCTGTTTTTTTTCCCCTGTTCTCTCTCCAGGAAACCACCTCACTGAGTAAACCACGGTCTTTACCCTTATAATTTCACAAGAAGGGTGTTTGGAAATGAGAGCTAATTTTCAGGATTTGAACATCTCCGGTGACTGTTTTGTGCCTGTGGAAAATTTAGTTTTAAC